AGATTGACAACCTCAAGTCAGATGCCGGCCTTACTGAGGTGGCGGAGCTCCGGTCTCTGATGATAGACAGAGAGGGATGACGTGTGCTTTCGGGATTGGTTCGAGCGGGAGCTCGACAAGGTAAAGTAATAATAAAATAAAGTAAGTGGTATTTGGACTGTTTGGGTATGGGCAGTGAGTTCCAATCGAAAACTGTTCTTGGGAAATATGAGTATTCTATAGCAGCCATTGTTGTAGTTAATTGGTTTGTATGAGTTCAGATGATTGTGACGTGACTGGCACGCGCTTGACTGTTGATATATGTGCCAACCAACAGGGCCAGAAGGCCCTTTCTAACCTTTTGTAGTATCAAAAGTATCAAAAATATATAGTATCAAAAGTATCAAAAATATATAGGCCGTTCTTCTATAAGTAAGCAATTAAATGGTTATGTTCCCGACAAACATGAATCCGTATCCGCATTCTACCCTGTGTTCTTCTTTGGCCTACTTGACTGGGACTCGCTTGGCGTAAAACTGCTTTTTGGGCTAGCCAAAAATGTGTCAACCAACAGGGCCAGAAGGCCCATTCTAACCTTCTGTAGTATGGTAAATATATAGGCCGTTCTTTTTTTACTCCCGAGTCTGATACTATACAGTAAAACGAGTGAAATCGATATCTGGCACATAAACAAAACTATCACATCCATTGTGCCAAGTTTCAAAGGGAACCGCTCGCGTTTGATAAAATCATACCATCGTAAATAAATACGTATGTCGATTTCATTACCTATAAAAGGAATCATCAAGCCCTATCAATCACCTGTTGGTTCCTCCTCACCGATTGAGTAATAGAGCCTCTACCAGGCTTCGGAGCCTCTACCAGGCTTCGGTAGGCGGTTGAAAAGAGTAGAAAGTTCGGGTGCATGTTATTCCTCTATTTGACGAAGTTCTACTCTTTCCAGTCGCTACGTTCCTCAAGGTGTGAACAATAAAAAAAAGTCGCCGCCTACGTCTCGCTATGGGCCACCACTGCTTCCCACCCTCTTCTGTCCATCGCTTGCCTTGTCGCTCCCTCCTATGTGAAACCCAACTCCTCTACGTCCCTCATTACAGTTTACGGCTTGAGATCTCAGAACAATTAGATCTCTCCCACTGCCCCACTGCCTCCTGAGAAGAAGTCAAACCCCCTAAAAGCTTGGCTGAAATAGTATAATAGAATAGAATAGCAGTTACCATGTTTCCCTTACCTGTGTATGTATTGCATATTCACTCTTTATCCTGTATACCAACGTTATAAGTTTTAAGAAGAGATAGTAGGTAAAATAAGTAGATCGTAGAACTTCATGTTAGCATTAAGTTTTATATCACTACATTCTGTACTCGTTGTTCTTGTCAATGTCTGTTTGCAATTAGCCATCGGGCATGAACTTGCAATAAAGAACTCTAACTTAATCAATTAAAAACACGGAGGGCAACAAAATGTCATCACGCGCTAAAATACTTTCACGCTTGTCTTTAAATATCATAATAAATCAAAAGCTAATTCGTTCCAGCATGTTGTCCATACCATCTCCAGTAACGGCACTTAGCCCCACCTGTTGATAGCATCAATGAGCCCCCACCGAAGATCCAAAGCCATTCGCACATCTACGTGTCATTCGTTACCAGGGTAAAATACGGGTAAAAGCAGAGTCAATTTCAATCGACACCAGCAATGCGACTCAGCGATAACAAGTGCCATTTCATCAACTTCTAATGTGCCGGGCTAATGTAATGATATTGATCACCAGAGACAGATATTTCGAAGCCTATCAACACGGGACACTTTAACCGCTTCGGCTTGCCGCACTCCCTTTCGGATGGAATGGTGCAGCGTACAATTCCAACGACGCCCTTTTGTCACATGCATGTTGAGTAAAGCCGTTTTCGCTTGATTGCTGTTGGCACCATTAAGGAAATTGACATAACTCATGTCAGCACGAAAAGACAGATTGTAGACGTCAAACACGCGAGAACTTTGCGATCAGGGTGTAGAAACACACTAGATTTACCCTTTATATCGACTGAAAGTCAAATGTCAGGACTGATTGAATGCGAGAAAAGCTCTTCATTTCTGGACTGGGCCAAGTTATCTCTGAGCGAGCTCAAAGGCTCAGGCTGCTTCACAGACCTTCTTCGTCGCATCAGGCGTAAATCTAGTTTCCATAAGGAGAAAAGAGGCACGAAACCCGTGATGTCCACGTGGTCTTGCCTGTAGATAAAGACCAGAGCAGTAGGAACATAGATACATCTTCCTAGAGGAGCTACGATAAGGCGGGAAGGGCTGCAGTGCTTACAGTAATGCCTTGCCCGATCCCTGTACCAAATGTAGAAATGGAGTTGTGATATGAGACGCTTTCTTAGCTCACCAGATATAGCGGCGAAAAAATCCAAGCGTAGTATATTAGCGATGGTAAGGTTATTCTTGTCGTTCATCAGTGTCATGGTGAACTTTCTCATTGCCATTGGCATGTCAACGTTGCAATCTGAAGCTTAAGCTTTGCAAGATATACTATAAGTTTTGTACTGACCAAACTGTCTAGCTTTAACGTAAGGACTGAATCTCAACAAATCCTGATAATGACGTGCCATAAATTTTGTCTAGCCTCTATGAGTCTTTTATTAGTTGTGTTACATAAATGTTACAATGTTCTTCACTGAGCCCGCAAGGGTGATGATGTAAATCACCTTTTGTCTAATACTAGACGGGGGTAACTAACATTACCACTGACATTATGAAGATTTAAGACTCTAAATAACCGTACACGTACAAAAATAAGCTTACCAACAGGCATTCATCCAAAGCTTACTCCAACATGACTTAGGCTTCGGATCATTTCAACGTGAGAAGAATCCTCTGATCAAGACTAAAAGCTTGTTGATGAGCCATTTTCTTGTCATTTTAAATCTTTATAATGGTTGTTGGGTATAAGTAGTTGCTACTGGCGGATGGTTCCATGTTTCAAACGATCATCTCTGCACTGTGATTATAGACAGGTTCTACTTCATTTGGACAAGCTAATCATCTTTTGTACTAAAATAGTAGCGATAGGATGTAAGGCTTGCCTGTATCTATTTTTATCCGTCTGGATGAAGATGCAGACAGGGTTGCCAAACTAGCACAGGCGTATCATTAAACGTGGTTTCCGTCACTGCTCTGTTGAGGTAAAGCGCATTTTTTTTTGGTAGCTATTGTGCCAGTCTGTATTGTGCTCAACTATGGTCTGAATATAGTGTGGGCGTTATTTCTAAGTTATGAGTGGCTTATAATGGAGCCCTTAAGCTGCTGCTTCGTGTGAGCAGACAGTCCAGTACTAGTTTACTTTTCACAAATAACAGGCTTGACACATTTGACACTAAGCTTCGTAAACTATCCCATTCGTTCGTTTCCCGGTTGCTTTCTTCTGAGAACTCCATTATACATACTCTTGCCCACTTTGTTTTTATCTTAGCCCATTTTGGAGGCATTATGTCAATCTTGTCTTTTTTAGTTAGTTATTTAGGTAGTAGTATTTCAGCTACTCAGTCCTTTTTTCTGTACTTAATATTCCTGTATGTATGTGATATGGGCCAAGTGCCTGAAATAAAGTTTAAATAAGATTAAAGTTTGAAACGTGGCAAATAAGAGACGGAGGTTCGCCAGGCCTCAACCGGGTGGTTTGTAGAGAGTCACCAACTCCGGGCTGTACAATTTGGAGCATCTCACACCGGGGCATGGCCCTACTCTTTTTCGAAAGGTGTATACGTGGTGAGTTCTTTAACGTGCGTGGCGTGTGGCTCTTTCCAACCACGGGACCACCGTTTAAGTCCTGTCTGAGGAACATCCATAACCGAAGCTACTCACTCATTGTGAAGTGAGGAAAGTCGTGTGAAGTGAGAAAAGTCGTGTGAAGTGTTTTTTCCAAGGTCACTACGTTGGGGCATGTGGGTGGATTCGAACCCACGACCTATGGGTTCCAGGCCAAATACCCTATTACGCCATACGACGCCTGAACACATACATCTGTACATAATGATATTGCCTTGTGAAGTTGACAAGAAAATTGGTCTGCCATCTCTACAGCTGGCACGAGACTCCCTTAACCAACACCTACTTACAGGAAACCTCAGATAACCCATCCGACCTACCGCAGATACTACCAGGACGTACATAAAATCTTTACAACGTGTCGTAACGACGACATTATCCGCGCTGTAGCGGAGGTAATCTAAGATGATGGGCACGCTGACCTATAGCTACGGGACGACTGAATCATTCATTACAGCTTCACTAAGGGTCTTCTGTTTATCTTTGCCAAGAAGGTTGTTTTCGGTACCGTTCGCGTGTGCGTGTATCTGTTTGAAAATACGATAACACAAGAAAGTTTACACGGATCTTCGCCGTATTTGGTAGGTGGTTAGGTCTTGATGAGACATCAAAATCATTAAATTTTCGCCCTCAGTGGCGGCTTGTTACATATAGAACGGGTTGATATATTTACTGCCGTTGTATCTCTCCAGGCGATCCATGCACATCGGTTTTGAATGCACAAGGAATGCCGTAGATCATGCGGCCTGTCATACAAATGTTTATCGAAAGGTCGTTGAAGCGTCTAACGACGTGATTTAGGATCTAACAAAGGAGAAGGCAGTGGTGAGGTAATGATGCACAGCTCCTGGGGGACTGGAGGTTCAAAGCTGTGCCGTTAATAGGTGTGTATGTCTGGAATCTGCCTCGTGGCTTCTTGGCACCTTTGGTAAGGCTGGGGTCAAGCACTGGCTGATGGAGACATTCATTATGTTGTTAGATCTTTCACAACATGGGTGGTGTCTGTCATGATGCTTTTTCACTCTTCGAACACGTTTGCCCTGGGTTTACCGTTCTTTTGTGGTGCATATACTCAAGTTATACTACTAGTAGTAAACGAAGCCATTAGAAAACGAAGCCAAGCCGAGAGACTAGTAGTAGTAGAAACAAGTTTAACAATTCTCAATTTTATGTCTCAAATCCATTCTATATATTAGTCAACTGCAAAATCATGCAAACCACCCAAAACTCTCTCTCTCTTAAAAACTACTAGTACAAAATTAACCAATCGTATTTAGATATTTCGTGACCAAGCGATCTGTTGGGCGGTAAACGACGAGTTACAGTATGCTAAACGAAAAATGTCTATTCATTAATTTCATCTGGTCTCCACAACTGATCTCAACTGCTAGGCATCTGTTACGTTTTCAAATGTTTTTCTAGTTCTGTACAAGTGGTGACGTGTATCCATATTCAGATATATGGTGACCAGCCCATCCAACTGTCCTGCAACTTGCTACATGAGTAACTAACATAACACCACAGGGTGTCCGTTACCGCACCAGTTGCCATGGTGACAGACGTCTGGTCCAGGTCACTGACCTTTTGTGGTTAGAGAAGAAGAGTTAACAGTATGTTCTTCTGCGAAGGTACACATTGATATGGAAACGTCAAATCTTATATTTACTTGACCTTGGACTTTGTATATTGATATCTACTGTCTACAGTTCTCGTGGTAAGGGTCTGTGGTTCTGAAATCTCTCCAGGTGGGGGGAAGTCCATCTTGCAGGTGCCTCCCGCACCTGTGACAGGTGGCTGTGAACAGTGTGGTGTAGCTGTTTAACCATGTCTGAAAAAGTAAGAGACAAAAAGGTAAAGATAGTCCCATAGCCTTATAGAGGCCGTAGGGGCAGTGGGTAAAACATAATCCACTGTGTCTAGGGCACGGTATTGGAAGGTGGAGCACATCCCTCTCCTTCCAGAACCCTTTACCTCCCCAACCGAAGTCAGGTACCCATTTTACACCTGGGTGGAGTGAAGAAAGGGAAATTCTTCTCCTAAGAACAGAACACCTAGCTAAGAATGCCAGGGTTTGAACTTTTGATCTCATTTCCACAAGCCTAGCCACTACAGGCCACTTGATAGTGACAGATACCGATAAGAAAAGGATAAGAGAGAAAAGATAAGAAAATCCAGGGCTTTTCTAAGCACCTCACAGAAGTTACAATGTAATAGTTTTATCAAGTTGGTAACAATGTAATAGTTTTATCAAGTTGGTAAATCCCTGTAGTGGATTTCTTCAGCAAGAAAAAAACATCCACTTTTGGTGTGCCTAAAGAATTCCACAGCGAATGCCAGGATAAGACCAGGTTTTGAGAATTGAATATTGTATACGTTACAAGAACAATAATTGACCTTCCATAACTTTACTATATTCATTTAGGACAATACACCAGGTCCTGTACATATTAATCCACATGCAATAAAGCTATTAATGCTAGTATCCTAGGTTATTTTCAATGGTATTATTATGATTAATATAAGTCAGAATCCCTTTTTTTGTCCTATTGTATCATTTAACTAAGGCCATAACCCTAAATCATTGAATCAATCAATGAATAAAAGAAGGAAGACATCTATACGATTCACAGTGTTAAAAAAATCATGTCTTGGACCTTAAAATCTTGGTAATTTTCCTATTTGCAAAAATTCGTTTGTGGAAAATTGTATTTGGTTATATGCAGCATCCTGTAGACCACAAAAAAGTAGTTGATAATGTAGCTGTAATAGTACATCCGAGAAAATTGCAAATTGACAAACCAGGAATGAATAGGTCCTTAACAGGATGAAGGTCTTGTCTTTATAATAATGATAACTGCACAATATGTAATAAAAGTGACACAAGGGCATGATAATACAATGATAAATTGAACAAAAATTAATCGATTTTACTTATCAATAAAATAGCAGGCATTTTATGCAGCTCTGGAGGTTTCTTAACCACTCCTTGTCAAAAATGATTTGTTGCTTTTCATTTATCATTTGATACGCTCATACATCAAATTAAAATGCCTGCATTGAGATTAATTCAATTCTCATCTTACTGTCCGCTAGTATTTAATGCTAACTACGTATTACAGATTTTCTGTACAATCATGCAATTATGCAGACAAATGTGAAGTAACATGCTGTTTTATGATGTTCATAAATTCTTATAGAAACAGTAATAATAGAGGACAATGAATACAAAGTAGAGCATGGTGAGTGTGTACCAAGTACTATTTGGCTGAATGTGTGCAATTTTGGTTACTGCAAAAATAGGAAATGGGAGACATCTGGAAAATGCTCTTTATTCTAGTTGCAACAGGAATACACGTGGAGCACTAGGCAGCTTCTGGAAAGTGTTTTGGGTTTTTGTAAATGTGTTGGAAGTGTATTGAATGATTGTGGGAAAATACCCAATTGAATTACATATAGAATGGATTCTAGTAAAGGCACCATTGTTTGTGTTTCATACATTTCTGGCCTACCTCATCTTACAACCCAAAGAATACCTAATCACAACCCTGTCAATCAACTGAAGCCCAATCTCCACCCACCCTCTTTCAATACTTGCTGCAGAGGATAGGAATACATACAAACTAAACCAGTGTTACCAGAAACAAAACTTCCGCCCAAGTAACTTGAAATGTCAGGTCATGTTTGAAAAAAAATTAACAAAATGTTGTAGACCTTATTTCCCCCCTCAGCTTTTGAGCCTCATCCTGAATTGAATCGTTTCTAACGGCGTACAGTGGTATAGGCAGACTATTATAGCAAAAATGATAGTTTTAGAATGTTCTGCAGCTCTCAACATATTATGGGAAGCAGATGCATGTCCCCAGTGCTGTGCTCAATACAAGTTGGGAAGGCTCTCTCTATATTTTTAGAAAGCTTGTGTAGCACCTGCCCATGTTACTTTTGGGTCTCCCCGATTTAGCCAGTGTGACCTTGCAAGAGGTAAGGGGTCAATGCACTGTAAAGCTTTAGAAAGCATAAATTGAGAGTCTAGAATTATAATATACAAAAATGAGTGTTTTCAACTTACCAGAAAAGTCTGTAGTGCTAAGTCAGGATGGATGGGGTGTTGGTAGTGTAAGGTTGCAGCTGTGGCATGATCCGAGATCTGAAACACACAGGTATCGTGTAGAGTTGACTAATGTCTTTTTAATGTATTATTCAAAGTAGCACAACAAACTTATTCTTAAACCTATTAAAGTTATAACCCTCAGGTAGTAATTACTGAATGAATGAATGAATGAATGAATGATTGAATGATGATGAAGCTTGTTTGAAAGAACTGGATACATCAAGTCCTAATAGCTTCACTTATATTCTGGTAGAGAGATAATTAACCCAAACTGTTATAGATTCAACTAACTAGAAAGGCCAATATTTGCTTTGGAGCAAATACAGCGATGGGTTCACCACATTTTACGACATGGCAGGGAAAGAATGAGAAACACAAGGGAAAACAATGATTTACATTGATATAACTATAATATGAAGTAACATACAACTAAAACAACAGTTGGATAGCTATTCCCTACTTTATTGGTTAGGATTTTTAATTGCATAATGCAAACTGTTGATTTTCAAAATAAATAAAAAAACGTTCAATGCTGGAGCAGGAAAAGCTTGAAATACCTACCAAAACACTTGAATAAAGACATACTGTCAGGTGGAAATGCTCTGTGCAGGTGTTAATCAAGTTAAATCCCAACAGCCAATCAGCAAGAAGTATAGAGGAAAGCTGCATGCCTATTGGTTGATGCCCTGCATTCCATTGTGATGACTCATGCCCAGACGTGGTAAACACGGCATACTAACACAGTAATACATTTGCTATAACACAGCCAAAAAACTCAAATAAAACCATTCTAAAAGCCTGTATCACAAAAATTTAAAAAACGCCTAGGGGTATTTGCCCACTCTACCTCCATACCAAATTTCAGGACCTTAGGCCCTAAAATGAAGAAGATGAATCCATTTAAAAAATGGCAGGAGAAGAAGAAGAAGAAGAAGGAGGAGAAGGAGGAGAAGAAACATCAGAAAAAGCAATATGGGTTCACCACCACTTCGTGGTGTGGTGAACCCATAATGAACAAAAAGCTGTTCAGAAAGTGCTCATTATATATAAATATATATTTATATTTTGCATTGGGCAAGGGAAAAGTTGGTTCGGGCAAGTAGAAATGTCCATGGGCAATTGGATTTGTGAAAAACCCGTCCAACCCTGGAAATGTCCATGTGACTTAAGGTTGAGGGACATAAGATCGAAAGGGTTATGGGTTCAATTCCTGCCTTGACAATGTGTCCCTAGGAAATCCATAGTTAACTTTACAGGACTTCCCTCACTCCACCCCGGACCTGCATATACCCAGTACATGAACCAGTGCAGGTTACATGTAGGTGCAGGTAGACATCAGAAATACATTTTGTACCTGCATAGCTCCAATTTTCCCTGCCATAACCTGCATATGCAGGTGTTATTTCAAGCCCAGGTCATAACAGAATCACTATTAATGATTTTGCTCCCAAGCGATGTGCTGAATACATAGATTAATTTTGGTAATTATCTCCATGTACATTACAAACAGGTGGGGAGTGTGATTAACACACAAGCGTGTGCTTACGATATGGTGTGACTATCTTAAGTGGCCCAGGAGTTGTGAAAGCTCCAGTGATTATCAGTCAGGTATCGTTAGCTTGTACATAAATGTCACTACACCAGCTGCACCCAATGTGTTATCCTAGATGTGTAATTATGATGCAGAAGGTTGCTGCCGCAGTGTTGACTGTTTAAACCCTGTAGTTGCTGATGTTGCTTTTTTTCACATGGAATGTGTGTTGTTTATGATTGATACATCATTATAGTTATGGTTTTAGATAAATTTTTCTGCAGCAAATTGGAGACATTATGGTGCAAATGTAATTTGTCAAAGGTTACTCATTGGCTAAGACAAGCTAATGTGGTCTATATTTTATTTCAGTACAAAAAGTGTACAGATTCTACAAAAATGTATTAAATCTGTCTATATGGGTGATTAATGCTTAATAAGTTTCCCCATGTTATACATGTTATCACGTTGATAACCCATACTTTCACAGTAGAGGCTTAATTATAAAGGTTCAACTACAATCTTGCAAATCTTATGCAACTACAAAAATGTACATCCATACGCATGTAACTTCCATTAAGTAGGCGTAAGCATTGTTTTGTCACAAGCTGGGACAAACAAAACCTTTCTCTTCTCTTGAAAATTTATGGTCTTGTATTAATGTTCTGCTTACTGCTAGCCTGAGTGTCAGCCTATAGCTTTTGTTCGCTCCATCTTGGGGAGCGGACAAAAGCTAACAAGGCTGACACTCAGGCGAGCTTACTGCCTGATCCTGTAACCGAATACAACTTTGGTGCCAAAAGGCAGCCTTAGCAGGCTAGATGCATGATCAATGATTAAAGGTGAGAATGTCTACTAGGTAATACAAGATACCATCTTCTACTTTGAAGGTCAAAGTATGTTTTTTTTTTTAAACACAAAAAATGTCACCAAATGTGCTATAACAGCATCTTTCCATTACTTGACGAAACATTGCTGCTCATGACGGACAAAATTGCCCCAATCTGTCATCTTTGACTAAGAAAAATTCGCCTGTAGAGATATAGTAAGAGATGTCATCAAAATATGCTTTAGTCTACCAGCAAAACATACTCCTCAAATTGCAAGGAATAGCGTTTTAAATGTTCAAGATTCAAAATTTTAACAGGTGAGCATGCCTTAGGTGCTTGACATGATGTTACGTCAAACAAAATTGAGATGACGGAAAAAAAATTCAGTCTGGCTATAGCACACAGTTACATACATGTACAATATAGAATGATTGTGGGTGCAACATGCACATGTACAATGTATATGCCCCAGGGAAAAAGTCTTGATAAATTACCCTGAAGTGTGGCATGTCACGTCTGGTTTATGTCTAGTATACAGGCTGGTGAAAGATTCTTTGAAAGCCGGGTCGGGTGATATTAACCCCTGTAAAGCTACTGTTGTCATGAAAGAGTGCTAGTGTGTACACTCTTGGTGGTCGAGGGTAGGGATGTGTACCGGTACGCAGTACCGATACTGTACCAGAAAAATTGATAACGTACAGGTCTAAAATACAGTACCCGTACTGTACCTGTATAGAGTCACACTAATTATATGCTTATTTGTGACCTAAAATAGGGAAATAGCTGGTCCCCCATGGGTCCCATGGACAGGACAGTGTGTTTGTGTTACAGACTGAGCCTCCCTCTACGCTCACTCTAGATGTCACTTTGGCTAGTTTTGAGTCAGATGAGACCATTTAGGGTATGAGATGAAAACAAAAACATCTAACCAACCTTGCTTACATTTCCTCAGAGCTTCTGGTTGAAGTTCTGCTTCTTGCCGCTATATACAAATGTACATGTATGTAGCCAGTGTAGATGGCACTTTTGCGGCAAGAACACAAGAACACTGGTTGTAGAAAAAAGAAAATTCCAATATCCTATGGTCTACCAACCTGATGAAACTATTTTTGGTCACATCACTTCAAATGAGAATATGTAAAAAAAAAAATTACATTTCAACTATACTTACTACAAATCCGAGCTGTTTTGCATTTGCTGGCAAATATTGCCTGAACTGCGCCGACTGGCTCAACAGTATCCTGCTGACAAAGCTTGTTTATGTATAAATAATGTTCTAACACGATGACATGCTTCAGGGTTGGTGAGGGGTTCATTTGTCACTTCACCACAGCTGAGGGCCTGGTCACATACATCATGCATTTGTCGTACAAACAGAAACTGAAGGGCATTGATGGGACAGTCATGCCTGTGTCCTCAAGCTGATGTCTTGTTACAGAAAAGGCTACCATAGATCCCTGGTGTTTGGTTCAGTTACAGGCAGTGTTCTATCCAGTGCCCGTCTTTTTGTCACTTGACCGAATTTTGCTGCTCATGACAGACAAAAATTTTGCCCAATCTGTCATCTTTGATGGACAAAAATCAGTGTGTATATATGGAACGAGACATCATTAAACATCATCTACCTGCAAAATTTTCATCTCAAAATGCGGTAAATAGCTTTTCAGAGGGTCAAGATTGCCCTATTTTTCGTGTGTGTGTGTGTGGGGGGGCATGCCCACAGACACCAATAGGACTGTAACAATTGCTTTCCCCCCTCGACATGATGTTACGACAATTTAGTAAGGCATAGGAAAAAAAAAGTTTTCTGTTTCCAGTTTCAGTAGGTACAGTGTAGGGATTATCTTTTACTTTATTCTTTTTAAGACTTCAGTGATATCTATATAGTTATCCAACTTATACAATACAGTCAACAAAGTATAACTTGCATAAGGACACTAAAAAAGTCTCAATGTCAATGTTGAAAAACCGATTGTGCAATGTTTCATCACTCAGGGAGCTAGAAAAGATCAATCAGCTCGAAACAGTTATGTCCCTTGCAGGGATCCACAAAAAAAACAAGGCTAGGGTCGGCAGTTTTTTCTCGGGTCAGTCGGGAAGTAGGAAACACAACATTTTTTTCTAGGCCTAAGGGACATCAATATATCATGACAGTCTACCATGAATCTGGCTGTGCTGTATCTGTAAGTCCTATTAACATTTCACCTCAAGTAATGTACAGTGTCTGAGACCCATTAACAGGATTTCATCAGGAAAAGGCTTTTTTCTACATTTAGAATCAGAAGGGTTAGTTCGCTTTGAGTCTAAGGCTTAGGCTTCAGGCAATCTAGTCCTACATAATCTGACATAAAAGCAGCTCCTAGATCCTTCTCAGTGTTTGTTTTAGATGGATATCTGCCGAAAAGTCCCCCTGTAAGAGATATGTGTTCCCTGGAGATTTTTTTGTCCGTGTAGAGACAAAAACCATTATACTACTCAAGGCTACTCATTCTTTTCTTGGATAAAAGAACTTTCAGTTTTGTTGTCAAATCAAATGCTATTCAGTTAAAGGTTGGTGCACTGATAATAATGTTTACAGAAATGACAGTTATGGTATCCTGTTACCTGCACAGTTTAGCTTAGCTTGGTCATCCTATACCATTTAAGGTGAAGGTCCAACAGTTTTTTATCAGTTGAGGCAGTGGGTTGTTAGTCCACTGTGTCTACGGCACAGCATTGGAAGGCAGAGCCCATCCCTCTCCTTCCACTGACTTTCACCTCCCCAACCAATGTTTGGTATTCTATACACTTTGGTGGAGTACGGAAAGTCATATAAAGTGCCTTTTGGATTCCCCATAGACATCAAGGAAGGAATCGATCCCATAACCTTTGATTTCATGTCTAGTGTTAGATAGCCATCTACACCTGGGTGGAGTGAAGGAAGTCCTGTAAAGTTCCCTTAGGATTTCCTAAGGATGCAACGTCAAGGCAGGAATTGATCCCGTAACCTCTCGATTTTATGTCTACTATAGCCTTTAGACACTGCTGCCATCACTACTAACGCAACACCAGTAATGGCTTCCATAAAATGGCGTACTGTTTTATATTTTTCTCATCCTTACCTTTTCAAACACCTTGAACTGGCTCTTCGACCAAATATCCAGCTGTAAAAGAAACAAATAACAAATGTTCAGCACCAAGGACAGTTTTTTTTATGTGAGTGGATAGTGTTCAGTACCAAGGACAGGCATGTTCTTGTGTGTGTGTGCATGTGTGTTTGTTCTTGTGTGTGTGTGTGTGTGTGTGCGTGTGTGTGTGTGTGTGTGATCAGCACCAAGGACAGGTTTGTTCTTTCAAGTTTGACACACGATGAATGAATCACTATTTTGTTTTCCACACAGTCCAAACATGTCTTTACTGTCCTCCTGAGTAACCTATTTCTGGACCTGACTGTGACACACTTTAGCCTAATGTATAAAACATTTACATATCTTGCTGTGTACCAATTTTACATGTGGGTGGAGTGAGTAAAGTTGTGAAGTGCCTTTCCCAAGGACAAATTGTTGAGCAATAACCAGGATCGAACCCACAACCTCTCAATCTAAGTGTTCGCTATACCCTTGCCATTTGGCAATATGTCGCCACCATCTTGTACTTTCTGAGGCAAGTAGTAGCATTAATGAAAACATAAAACTGACAACTTCAGCCTAATGTACAAACATTTACACACCTTGCAGTCCTCCTGAGTAACACATTCCTTCAGCCTAATGTACTAACATTTACACACCTTGCCGTCCTCTTGAGTGATATTTTCCTGGAACCCTTTCACCACTACCCGGTCGATCAGCAGCCCTCGGAGAACAACAATGGCCTGTAACGTCCGCCCCAGTCCGATCTGAAAGGGAAAAAAAGTTTCTTCTTATTCATAATATTATATGGGGTCGTGTGGTGCAGTCGGTAGCGCATTCGTATCACACCCAAGAGATCGAGGGTTTGAATCCTGGCCATGAAACCGATGTTGTGCCCTTGGGAAAGGCACTTTACACAACTTTCCTCAATTCACTCAGGTGGAAATGAGTACCTAGCTTCGGTTAGGGACGTCCCTCGGATAAGACGTTAAATGGAGGTCCTGTGTTTGGAGATGGCCACACCCCACACACTTTAAAGAACCCACCACACTTTTTGAAAAGAGTAGGGGACCTTCCCGGTGAGTGGTTCAAACCTTACAGTCTGGTCTTACACAGCTTGTACATGTACATGTACGTATGTTACCTGGCTGGCTGGCCAAATGACTCAATCGAATCGGAAAAGAGAAGAAAATTTTCTTCCGCTTCATAAGAAGTGGAATAATATAGTTGCCTGATTCTTGCTGTTTTTGTCTTCCAAATGTTATCTGGCTGGTCCTATGTCTCTAAGCAAGTAACATACATGTACACGTAGGCCTCCTTTCCTGTTTAGGATTGTACATGTCTGACGAAAAGTAGTGGATGCTACTTGAAAAATTTGACAGTTTTCAAAAGTTATCCAGTTGCTTGAGCAATAATCCCTTGTGTATCTCATTACCTGGATGTCAAACCTTCATTGATGCAAACATACATTTTGCACACCCCAATCAAATCTAATAAGACAAAAAAATTTCCTTCTGATTCATAAAAAATGACATATACATTTACATTATTGCCTGATTCCAGCTGTTTCTGTCTTTAAAGAATGTTTCTTGAGTGGCCCTTAACCAAAAGGCCATCTCATGTTGCTCCCTGAGGACAACATAGCTTGTATCCTATGCCCCAATCAAATCTGAAAAGAGAACTGTACAAAAAAGGCATTACAGTTGCTCATTCCTGCTGTTTTTGTCTTGTAAATGTTGGCAATTGTTGTCTGGCTGGCCTCGTGCCTGTATCCTAAGGGCCATCCAATTTTGTTGCCTCCTGATGATAACACTAGGTTGCAATAAATGCACCAATCTTATCTCAGACAATTTATAAAATAAATTGCAGTATCCTGACTATTTTTTTTGTCTTCCAAATGTTCTCTGGCTGGTCTTGTACCTGTAACTAAGTACATTTGAAAGTATGCTCCAATGAAATCTAAATTGTAAAAAGAGAATTGTAAAAAAACTCCCTTTAATTCCTAAGAAAAGGCATGTACAGTCTTCCAAACATTGCCTGGTTGCATCTGACCTTGTGTCTGTACAAGTAACCAAAAAGTAACAGTCTTCTTTTTAGCACATTAAATGGACAATTCCCAGGGCTCGAAATTCATCTTTGAGAATAGGTGCACTGGTGCAGCCAACTTAAAAAAATTAGGTGCACAAAATCTTTTTGTGTGCACCATATAAAGCAAAACTTACTGCTCCTCTTCCGAGCTGGAATCTGAAATGGGAGCTAACTTCAAAATCTTTTAAACAAGTACTACAACAAAGATTTTTATCATCTTGCTGACACTTAGATGCAAAAAATATCCTGTATACTATTATACATTTAATATGTACAAAAATAAAAATATATACAACATTTGAGTGAAAAAAAAATTGGGTGAACAGCTCTAATTTTAGGCTCACTATGGTCCACATGCACCCAGTATTTCCAGCCCTGATCCCTGTTGAAATGTCGGCTACAACTGGCTCATCTCAACACATTATCACAGGCTTGATGTTATCCTTTGATCTTGCAGTTCACCCCTGGTCAGCATTGTTGACTCCATCATCGTTAAGTTGTCTGTCACCGTACCAGCGTGACATTTAAGGGGAGCCCTTTTAAGAGAAACCAGAGTGGGTGGGCGATGACGTCCTTTATGCATATTTAATTGCCTGTCAAGCCGCTTGTCTGGAGAGTCTGTGACTGCTCAAATAACAGAGACTGCTGGTGGTATCTGTGCAACATGGATGTTCAATGTTGTACTGCCAGGTATGTGACTGTCATATTTGACACTTTGTTTTGGAAAAAGATCTGCTTCGATGTTGAATGACTTGTACAATATTCAGGCTATTTTGTTGCTGATTGCAAATTGCAGAGACTGTTGGTGGTATCTGTGCAACATGGATGTTCAATGTTGTACCGCCAGGTATGTGACTGTCATATTCAACACTTTGTTTTTGAAAAAAAAAATCAGGTTCCATGTTAAACAACTTATACAATATCCGGGCTATTTTGCAAATTGCAAAGACTGTTGGTGGTATCTGTGCAACATGGATGTTCAATGTTGTACTGCCAGGTATGTGACTGTCATATTCGACACTTTGTTTTGGACAAAAGATCAGCTCCGATGTTGAACGACTTGTACAATATTCAGCTTTTTTGCTGTTGATGGCAATCATGATTCTGATGGGTATAATATGTAGAAATATTGTTGTAGATTTTCTATAGTATTGTTGTAGATTTTCTATCCAAAAGAAATCCATTTTACAATGTAAAACAACTCTTAGTCTTATGCCAGGGATTTGTGTTGTGCATGTCTATGGCGTTGGATATGCAAAAGTTTTGTAAGATGGTCTATAGACTTGATGGCTAATTAATGCTAAGAGGACGGAGGGTCATTTTTGACTGGTTCAATGTTGCAACTTTGCTGTTCAACAACATTTATGGCTACAAACTTGTTAAAAATACATGGAATCCTAGTTGTGCTGAGAAAGAACAGGCAAAAAGGGAAAGAATGTACATGGATCATAAAAATTGTTGCATTTGTGTCCAATTTGGATGCAGATATTTCATATTTAATAATTCAAATGTGATCACTTTTTTAACACGCTATAGAAAACCTAACAGTTGAAATAATTTGATTATAATCTGTTCAACGCCAAGTGCATTTTTCACATTGTTAGCCTTTTGTACAGACATGTAAAATTATCTGCTAACCTTGTAGAGTGCACTCTCCAGGAGAATGCCAAGGGTTAAGTACTCTAGAGCCACTAAGCTGTTTGTCCTTCTACTTTCTAAAACAGTGAAAGAACCATTAACCTTCTGACACTATCATGACAGTTACATGTATATCAATCTGTCAATTATAATACTTGTCAACCTTCTGTGCTGGAAATACTAAATGTAGGTGCATATCATGCACTTCTGTTCACTCAAAGATTGGAGCTATTATGAAGCAAGTTTGAGCTGTGATTTCAAACACAAGAAATTGGACTTATCTAAATTTTTGACTGTACAACTCAAGTCTTTATCAAGGAATGAGCAATCTACCGCTTCTGTGAAGTGACATTATGCAGACGGGGCGGGGGGCGTCACAAACTTCCTGCAACAAATTATCCACAGCTCACCAAATCACATAACGTGAGGTCACAGAAGCATTGGATTGCTTATTCCTTGACAAAGGCTGAAGTTGTTAATACGGTTAAAAAAATTTGGGTACGTCCAATTTGTTGTGCTGGAAATTGCATACTTTTTTCTCTCAGGTTGTCCAGTGCCAGCAGGACAAACTAAGCCCAAAGCCAGGTTGCCCATCAATATTTCAGGTTGTCCTGAACATGGGCTGTTTATTTCAGAAGGCAAGCCGTAAGCCAGACCACCTGCTCTCATGTGAGACAATTTATTTCTGACAATGGCTACTATAAAATTCAAAAAGGTAACCGTTGCTTTATATGTAAAAAGAAAGAAGAAAATAACCCGTTGGTTCAACATGAATTGGTAGGAAGAGTGTATTAGTTAGCCTTGTTGCTTTCATCTGTAAAACTGCTTGCAAAATTTTCAGGCTAACTCTATTTGTTACCAGTAAATTGCAGATTAAAGATAGGTGTTTCGTGTCTTGCTAAGGCTGTCAGCTATAATCTGACTTAAGTATTATATACAATTAGGATGTCACGCTACACATAATAGCTATATGCCCTGTCTGCTTAGCTTACTTGGTAGCAGCATATAGGTATTATCAATTTTGTAACAGTCTTTGTAATAATCAAGCAATTTTAGTACAGTCACAAATCAGAGCTACATGGTTGTCCCTCTTTATGACTCAGTTAATGTGTTTATAATTATCTTTGCAAGTACCAAATGCTATGATCGCTTTTAATAATGAAGAAATTAAGAATGTCGTAACTTTGAGCTGGCATTTAGAAGAGAAATGCGTGAGATATATAATTGTGCATCATTAATATAATCTATTAGTACATAAATAATCTCTGTAACACTCAAAAACATTAAGGTAAGGTGAAAAGTATTCAACGGAAGGCAGTGACACTACCAACAACAATTTCAGCACCAAGGAAAGACACAATACAAGCTGTTCTACTGGGTTATAGACAGATCAGAAAACAGAACAATTATTTGTAAGGCTGCCTATCTGGTAAAAAAGGTAAAAGTAAAGGCAGTCCCATAGCCTTTTTGAGGTAGTATAGGGGACTTTGGTTGTTAGTCCACTGTGTCTAAGGCAAGGTATTGGAAGGTAGAGCCCATCCCTCTACTTCCACTGCCTTTTATCTCCCCAACTGAAGTCAGGTATCCATTTTACCTGGGTGGAGACAATCTCTCAATCTAGTGTCCACTACCCTTGCCATTTAGCAGTACGATGCCACCATCTTGTACTTTCTGAGGCACTTGGTAGCATCATGTATGAATGCATTACAAATTACAACGCATTTGAATAAGACGATATCTTTGAAGATACTTTTCTTCACAGTTTGGCAGATATTGAATATGTGACATGAAAACAACACTGCTGTCATGTTTTCAATAAAACTGATCTGAGTAAGTTACGACCTATAATCATTTCCTACATTGCACTAAGCTGTTATTGACAACAGTAATTGGGTAAGATTGCAGCATTGAGCCTAATCCGTCTGTCTGTTCAGGTGTGTGACCCGTATTGCTCATAATGGCACCCCTGGGAACTGGATCCTAGGAATTATATCCTCTCTAATGTGTTCATAAATGATACATTACCCCGGCACAGACCTGC